TATATGGCCAAAGAGATTCACCACAGGTTTTTCTTAAATAGCATCCTCCTATTTCTTATGCTTTGCCTAAAATATGTGTTAATTTACCAAATGCTAATATAAGTCAAACTTCTTAGGAACCCATATGTTGTATAAAACAGATCACACTGTATAAATTGTGAATGCACACATATAAATAGTAAAACTGAGTATATTGCTGTAGGAAACCTAAAGAGTAAAATAATTTAAAAAAAAACAACTCCACTTTAAAGTATGGAATTAAGCAAAATACTGAGTCCCTGGGAAGTATGCAGTGAAAAACACCTAAACTGAATTATCAAGCTGCTTATAACCTCTTCTAGGTGGAAGCACTGAGAGTCATTCTGTCTTTGAAATTGCTTACCTGTTTATTTCACAAGCCTACTCTACTTTATTCGACTATTTACTAACGACAGGACTATTTTATGATATCTTTTGATCATAAGGCCATGCATTCAGTATACTAAGATTCTGTTTTTTGTTGTATATTCTTTTTCCTTCGAAATGTTCTTCAGGGAAAAACAAATTAAGCAGAAACAGACAGACTGTTCTAGGACAATTCTTCCTTTAGAGACATGAGCTTCTCCAGCATAAAAAAAAAAAGATTGGATTCCAAATTGGTTAAATTGCTTCTTCTGTACAGTACAGTGACATGTTGTCTTGTTACAGTGGAACATGTGCTCTCATTTCGGATGAGCTGTTCTGTGAAAAAGTTTTATTTAGCCCTGATGGCCAATCCCCGGATTTGTGGGTGGCACCTCCTTTCCGAGTTACCAGGTTTTTTTTCATCGTTATTGCTCCTGCTCCGTCAGCTGCGACACAGCTTGGTGGCAACCCTTTTAAAAAACAAGATGTTTCTCAAAATAGACAGAACAGTTGGCTAGACAGAAAAGAGACATCAACAAAAGCAGGTCTGTTGTTCGTCTGTGTGTTGCTCCCCGAGCTGCTTTGGGGACACGGCATCTCGTACATATACAAATGAATAGGCTTCTAGTGGTAATAGAATCTGGTCATCTCTCACTCACTTTTATCCTATTGTATTAAAGAAATTGAGTGATGTGAAAAGTGATTTGGTTCAGAGAACAAAACGTGTTTCACTTCTGTTCAAATGAAGATGTGTAAGTAAATGTATCGACCTGGTTTGTTTGTTCACTTTCTTGTTTTCACGAGAAAACTTCAAGTTTCATAAGTAAATGAATACTTTAATTCAGGTAAAGATGGACCCAGATGTATAAATCATGGTCTGTTTGTATAGCTGATTTCACCAAGAGGACACAGCCGCTTTATGTTTTTTTCTTCTGTTCATCAACTAAGCCAAAAATTAGGCCATGCAATATTTATTCTCTGGGCAGAGTGACATTTTTTCAGTTGCTCAGATTGCCCTATAATTAACAGGAATGACCAAAGTTCCCTCTCATCATTTCTTTGTCAAGCAGAGATACTATGACACCCCTTTCAGAGCACAACTTAGAAGATGTCTGAAAAATAGGCCCACCCACCAGCCCCTCACCATCTCATGTCCTTACACTCTACAAGACTTTGGTCAAATACCTGTAAGAGAACCACTCTGCACAAATCTTCATCCTGAACCTTGTGACAAAGTCAGAGGTCACCCCCACTTCCTGATTTGATCCTTACGTCTTGCCTGTCTTCCTACAGTACATAGAAATACACTAGAGATATTTTTAAAACACATTTCATTTACTTTTGTCATGTCTCTGATTATTCTTGGAGACACTGTCTTTATTCCTAAACCTTTTCCCATAAGAGATTAAATTAAGTTTTTATCGAATCACATTTTTATTACCACTTTCTCCTTCCTGTCATTTAAAATTCTAGAGCAAGCTTTTAAATCTAAATGCTTGGACCAGGGATGTGGAAAAGGGTTGCAGGAAGCCAAGTATCCCCTGAAAGCATATGCAGAAGCAGATGTGTGTCTCTGTCTACACGTTGTTCTGAGAAAAGGATCCCTGACTTTCTTCAGATTTGCAGACGGATGTGTAGCTCCCCCGATTTTAAGAACTACAGGCTGGGCGTGGAGGCTTAAGCCTGTCATCCCAGCACTTTGGGAGACAGAGGAGAGAGGGTTGCCTGAGTCCAGGGTTCAAGACAAGCCTGGTCAACTTGGCGAAACCTCATCTCCACAATAAATCAAAAAATTAGCTGGGTGTGGTAGCCCACACCTGTAGTTCCAGCTACTTGGAAGGCTGAGATGGAAGGATCACCTGAGCCCAGCGGGTCAAGGCTGGGGTGGCCATGAGCGTACCACTGCACTCCAGCCTGGGTGACAGTGAGACTCAGACTCAAAAAAAAAAAACTGCAGTCCTTGGATTTTCTCCTTCTAATATCAACTAGTTAGTAAATGCCTACCAAGTAAATGTAGTCACCATCTTCCTTTTTCCATCATAGTTCACCGTCTGCTTCACATTTTATCTTACCTTTCTGAATTTTGTGCCTTCTGTGTTCCAATGTAAGGAACAGAGAAAGAGGAAAAAGAAAACTACACACTACACCTCTTCTAGTAACTGTAATTGACATCTTTCTTTCTTTCTCTTTTTCTTTCTTTCTTTCTTTCTCTCTCTCTCTCTCTCTCTCTCTCTCTCTCTCTCTCTTTCTTTCTTTCATTCTTTCTTTTGTTGGAGTCTCACTCCATCACCCAGGTTAGAGTGCAATGGCACCCTCATGGTCACGGCAGCCTCGATCTTCTGGGCTCTGGAGATCCTTCCACCTCAGCCTTCCGAGTATCTGGTACTATAGGCAAATGCCACTACGCCAGGCTGATTTTTGGACTTATTATAGAGATAAAGTCTCGCCTAATAGCCCAGGTTGGTCTCGAACCTGTGGGCTCAGGCAATCCTCTCACCTTGGCCTCCCAGAGTACTGGGATTATAGGTGTGAGCCACTGTGCCTGGCTGGTATTTTCTTCATGTGGCATTTTATTTAATGCCACTGCAACCCTGCGAGTTACACGATAGCCTTGTTTTTACAGATAAAAAAGCTGAAGTTCAGAGGTTAGTTATCCCCTCAGCCTATAACTGACAGAGCCCAGCTTTAACTTTGTGTGTGAATCTAGAGAATGTTCTTTCTGTGAAGCCTTTCTGGACAGGGTAAATGGCCATAACTTACCAGTGGCCTTCCATCACATAAAAGTCTTGAATTTTATCCTTATTCTCCATCATCAAAGAGTCACTTCATTATGCTTTGTACGTAAATGTAGTGCACATTTACTAATGCATGTGTCGTATCTGCCTTAATGTTGTCATATTATCTCATCTCATCACAGAAATCACTTGTGCATTTATTAATGCATTCAATTTTTACAACAGCATTTATTAAAACTACCTACTGATCTTATTAAATCAAATGCTTTGCTAAGTCCTAGAATTGAGTGGTTGTGAGCCCTAGCTTACATTTTAGAGTCTAATGGGCAAGTTTTAAAAATGCTAATACCTGGACTTGGCACCAGAAATTTGAATTCAATTATTGGAGGAAGAACCTGGACAAGGTATCTGTGAAAGTTTTCCCAGCTGCAGCCAGGTTAGGAAACCCATGTTCTAGAGCAGTGGTTTTTCAGTATGGTTGTTGTGGCAGCATCATCGTGATCTGGGGACTTGTTTGAAAGACAAATTCTCAGCCCTTTCCTTCAGCTTCCCCCTTACTGTGCTGGCATGTCAGGCATAGGACTTGGCAAGCTCTTTGCACCAAGCCCTCTGGATGTTTCCGATACAAGCTAAAAGCTGGAAGATGCTTCTCCGGCAACACTGAGTGAAGAAGGCACAGCACTTGCTTGTAGCACTTCTTGGTCTCAAGGAATTCCCAGCTGTTTCAAATTTGCATTTTAATTACTTAGCACAGTTTTACTATCTATAACTTTAGTTGATAATGATAGCATTATTACTGTTTAAAGGTGAAATGGTGTTTCACCTCTCTTTGAGAGCCACTGAAACTTGGAAAGTGGCTCTGAAACTAAGAAAGAGCCACTGAATCTGAGAGTGGTCATTGGTGAATAGCATCCGGTAACAAAGTCTTTGGAATCTTATGGATTGAGCTGCATTGTTACAGTATTTTGTACACACACATGCAAAAAGAAAGACAGAGAATTATGAAACATACAATCTTAAAGGGAAAATGTTTTCAATGTAGTATTTTAAAGTAGTCTTTGTGTTGTGTTTACATTCTAGAGAATGCTATTATTATTAATAGTATACTTGCTATTCCCTCATCTTTATCAATATAGCTTATTGACAGTTTTCTCATGGCATAATCGATGTACAAAAACTTTAGGTATCTAAAGCTTTTAATTTGGTAAATTTTGACATATATACACTGGTCTCGTAAAACAGTTATGGGGGCACCCGTTTCCATGACAGGTCTCTGTTACTTGTGCAGGTCTTCCCTGTGCTAATCCTAAGGGCAGAATGGAGTTGCAGAGAAGGTTTCCCAAGTAAAGCGACACAAGTTGAGATTTGTGAGGCTACCAGATCCCAGCCCAAGTGCAAGAAAGGGAAAAGGTTTCAGGGGGCAGAAACAAAAAGCCCGTCTCACCCATCCCGAGTCTGGACTCCTGTGTGGATGTTGTCATCTACCATGTAGGGTCTTGAAATATTTACTCAACCTCTTTGTTTCATAACATTCCTATTGAGATGAACTTAGTGGGGCTCGTGAAATAAACAGCACCATTGCTGAGAGCCGCAATCCCTGTTTCATATCTGCAGTTTATAACTTGTTTAGTTCTGACCATCAATCCACTCTCGAATACTGACTTCTCTGCTGTGTGTATTATAGAGAACCAGTGAGCAAAGTGATATCTTGTAACATTTTGTCTTTAATTTCCCTTCAACTTTCTCCTTCCCCCTGGGCAAAGTATTTCGTCCCTAGATGTTTGAATATCACGACTGCCGTGTGCTAACACTGGGGCTTTGCTTCCCCCCACCCCCTAAAGTTAGCTTCTTAAATTTTCCCACGTTCTTTCCCAATCGCAGGCTGGCTTCACGAGCTGGGGAAGAGACTGGAGTCTCCGTACTACAACTACACCCAGGGGGGTCCATCCATCCGAAGTGCCTACATTGCCGCCCTGTATTTCACCCTGAGCAGCCTCACCAGCGTGGGGTTTGGGAACGTCTCTGCCAACACAGATGCGGAGAAGATCTTCTCTATCTGCACCATGCTGATTGGTGGTAAGAGCGCTGCTTCTTTCATGCCAAGGAAAGGAACATGTGTGTCTGCCAGATTCTTGCCGTTCTGTTTGCTCTATCCCGAAACACAAGGGAAAGAAACGGGTGCACCATGGAAGATCTTAAAAGCACTAATTAGGAGATCCGTGACAAACATGTTAATATACTTACAGACTGGCAATGAAAGCCGGTGATGTTCAAGAATTCCATTTTCTAGACAGATGAGTAAGCAGCCACTTGCCTGATGGCTGATTTGGACAGGGCAGGCATTGTGTTTTCCTAACAGGCTGTTCCCCTCTCATGTTTGGGAGTTAGCATGAGTCTGAGTCACAGGTACATGTTGTGCATATGACTAGTTGAGGCTGGACTTGTGGCAGGCAGTGAAAGAATTCACCAAGAGAGACGTGAATGAATAAAGGTGGAATTCACCAAGAAAGATGTGAATCAATAATGGTAGATTTATTAAAGACAGGATATGTTGCAAAGGGAGCAATGGGCTATACGCAGAGGGACACTATCTGTTGTCAGCAAAGAGGCAGGGACTTTAGGGAAGTTTTTCATAGGGCTGTGGTGGGGGAGGTTATATGCCAGACATGCCAGAATTGCTCAGGACGGTGTACTGTGGTTATCTGTTTTGCTAGAATTGCTTAACAATAGTCAACTACTTCTTACCGAGTCGGGTTTGAATAACATGTACAAGTTTTCCCTAGAGGTCTCCTTCCTTAATATAATCAACCCAGTTGTTGCTGGCCTATTTAGATCTTGCCTTCCTCCATAATACATGATTTGAAACTCCATTTGATAGTTTCAAACAGATCAGCATTGACCAATGCTATTAATATGGATGTAGTAAACTAAAGATGTCTGCTGAATCACTTGACTAAAAGTAAAAATGAAAAAAAAAAGCCACCCATGCAATAATAAACAGTTAAAATGTGTAAACAATACCCTAAGTAATTCATTTATTTATTTTTATTTTTTATTTCAAAGATGTGGGGTATAGCCGGGCTCGGTGGCTCAGCCTGTAATCCCACGCCTTTGGGAGGCTGAGGTGAGTGGATTGCCTGAGCCCGCGGGTTCGAGACCCTCCTAGGCAGGCGAGACCTCATCTGTAAAATAAATAAAAAAATCAGCCGGGCGTGGTAGCGCATGCCTGTAATTCTGGCTACTTGGAAGGCTGAGGTGGAAGGATCGCTGGAGCCCAGCAAGTAGAAGCTGCGGTGGCCGGGAGCGGCCACTGCACTTCAGTCTGGGTGACAGAGTGAGACTCCAACTCAAAAAAAAAAGAAAAGAAAAAGATGTGGGGTACAGTTCAGGGTTAGGTATGCAAATGTTCATGATGCAGGTACCCTTGTTGATGAGGTGTGACCCTCCCTCCCCTGGCAGTTTCCCTCAACTGCCAATCCCATCCCTCCCTCCCATGGCAGTTTCCCACTACTGCCAATCCCTTTCTTATAGTATTAGGATCATTGTTCAAGGTCCGCTTATGAGTGAGAACATATGGTACTCTGTTTTTGTTTCTGTGATAGATCACTGAGTATGATCGACTCTGAATCCATCCAAGTTGCTGCAAGTCCATGTGTCCTTCTTTATGACTGCATAATATTCCATTGTGTATATGTACCACATTATTTGCTTATTTATTTATTTAAAGTTTTAAAGATGTGGGATACAATCAGGATTGAGTATATAAATGGTCATCGTATAGTTAAAGTTTGGGCCTCCCTTTCGTCTCCACTTTGCCGGTTTGAGATCAGCTACATTTATTGATGTTATGTGGGTGCCCTCCCCCAGCAGCATTCTGCTACAGCCAATCCCTTTCTTGTAGTTTTATGGTAAATGTTCAAGTTCCACTTATGAGTGACTAAGTAATTCTTTTTTTGAGTTGGCGTCTCACTCTGTTGCCCAGGCTGGAATACAGTGGCACACTCACAGCCACCCCAGCATCAACCTGCCAGACTCCGGCAATCCTTCCACCTCAAGCCTTCCAAGTAGTCAGGACTACAGGCGTGCGCTACCACGCCCAGCTAATTTTTGATTTATTGTAGAGACAAGGTCTCGCCAAGTTGCCTGGGCTGATCTCAAACCCACGGGCTCAGGCAATCCACTCGCCTTGGCTTCCCAAATTGCTGGGATTACAGGCTGAGCCACCAAGCCCAGCCGACTAAGTAATTCTCCAGATCAATCTATGGGACTGACACTATGACTATCCCATTGAACAAGCAGACAAGTTATCTTTTCCCTGGACTCCAAGTCCACCCTTGTAATCCTGGGGTTTGCGCTCTGCGAATCATCAATTACTTGTTCAAATAAGGGGGTGCCAAAGGGGAGTTGGCAGACAGGAGGCTGGAGGAGGGACTGCCCGCCGCTCTGGTGTGCGTGCTGTCCCTTCTGTGGAGGTGGACATCTCAGCAGGGCCAGGTGGGTTCAGCTTTCAGACTCCTTCAGCATTCTTAGAGCCAGCCTCAGTGGCACCCTCAGAGATCCTTGCCTTAGTTGAGGTCTGCCAATGAAACACCATTTGATATTCCAAACAGATCAGTGTTGACCGATGTGATTAATACGGACTTAGTAAATGAAAGATGTCTGCCGAATCACTTGGCTAAAAGTAAAAATGAAAATAAAAAAGCCAACCATACAATAATAAACAGTTAAAATGTATCCATTGCCTTCATGTACCATTCTCTGTGCTGTATGCTCTAAAACAATACCCTAAGTGATTCTTTTATTTATTTGCTTGTTTGTTTGTTTAATTTTTGATTTTAAAGGTGTGGGGTACAATTCAGGGTTAGGTATACAAATGTTCATTATGCAGGTACCCTTGTGGATGAGGTGTGCTTCTCCCTCCCCTGGCAGTTGAGGGAAACTGAGTCAGAGTCCAGGCCCTGGAGTGAAAGCCCAGACTCCTTGGCATCTCTCATGGCTCCTGCTCTGAGCATCCAGGATGTGATAACCCAGCTTCTTCCCTGCGTGAATCCAGCACTAAGGGGCACAGCGTCCTTTACATTTACTATTTACATTGGCTCTATGCTCCTTATTTGCCCTCTCAGTCCTCCAACACCAGGAAAACCAACTCTTTATAATAAATTCCCACTGCTGAAATATTGAGTATAATCTCTCTTTTCTGAACCTCCCAACTGCTACAGGATTGATATTATTATTTTTGTTGTTGTTGTTGTTATTTTGAATCGGAGTCCCACTCTGTCACCCAGTCTGGAATGCAGGTGGCACAGTCATAGCTACTATAGTCTCAAACTCCTGGGCTCAAACAGCCTTCCCACCTCAGTCTTTCAAGTAGCTAGAACCACAGGCACATGCCACCACACCCCACTGAGTTTTATACATTTTTTTTTTTTTGCAGAGACAAGGTCTTGCTATGTTACCAGGTTGATCTCAAACTCCTGGGCTCAAGACATCCTCCCTCCTCAACCTCCCAAAGTGCTAGGATTGCAGGAGTGAGCCCCTGTGCCTGATCTGATATTACTGTTATCTACATTTTCCAGATGAAGAATCTAAAGTGTGGAGAATTAAAGTAACTTTCCCAATACCATACAGTCATTAAGTTAAAAAATGCAACATTTGAAGCCAGGTGAATACATACTTCTCTCTTTAAGTACTTAGAGGGAAACTTTACTGAACGATAAGGCTGTAGTCATGGAGTAGCGGGAGATGTGAAGGCCTACCTGGACTAAATAAGCATTCGTCTTAGACCAGAGTCCTATTAGTATTTTCTGTCTTGCCATATGCCCCTCAAAGCCTGTTTTATCTTGTTCTCTTAATATAACTCCTACAGACTTCCTTACACAGAAGATGAGGCATGAGTTATGTGAGTCTTTAAGCAATCCATCATCCAAAACTGAGTGAAACCAAACCTACCTGATGCTGGGTGGGGTGAGATGTGTTTCTCCATAGATTCTTGAGTTTGCCAGAGAAAAGAATTTCAGAGCAAACCCAAAGTATAGTTAGGAAAGAATTGATTAGAAAGAAAGAAACATGCTTAAGGAAAAGCATAGGTGCCTTAAGAGAAGGGCACATGTTTACCTTTGACAAGAAGCTTTTTATGCTTTTACAATGATGATTAAGCAAACCATGAGCTAACAGCAGAGGGCTGCAGGTATTTGGTCATGAGTTTTGATTACCTTCATTCAAACCTTAAGGTCACAAGGACTGTCTAAATAATGGAAGTTACTGTCAAACTAGACTTGGGCCTTTCATAGACCATCATATCTGTGTTTGGGATAATTCCCTGTGGGTTAGGGCACTGGTAGTTCCACAATCTAACCTGCAAAGTGGTCAGGTCTGAGATGTCTGGTTGGTCAGGTGAAGGTCATGTATGCATAAGAAAGATGTTTGATCACTTACCTTATTCCAAATGAGACCTGCCTAATGACTTCTAAGCTATGGTAATGATGCCTGCCTCACTTCCCTCAAGGAACTTAGGAGCCAGTTTGGAGGAGAGAGAATGACATACGTGGAAAGAGTTTTAACAGTGCCAGGCAGCCAATGCTGCATGCCAAATCAACCAGGATGTTCAGAAGCCGTGAGAATTCTTTGGAAAGGCAGTGTTGTGCAGAGTTGCTGAAGGAGCGTGCTGGGACTGCGTCAGTTGTAACAGGCTCTGGTTGATGTGGACCAGTGACTGTCTAGGGAACAGAGAACAGGAGTTCTCATTTTCTGAAGACTACAGTGTGCCAAGCCCCATGGTGGCTGTTTCATATCCAGCATTATGACTTATATAATTCCCATTCTCCTGGATAGCCCCTTTTTCAACCTAGCAAAACCACAAGCATTTTGCAAAGAAACACTGTCTCTCTTTATTTAATGTTTGCCCAGATTTCTTCTGCTCTTGATGGAAATTTGGAGAAATGCTCAAATGCCCAGAGCTTACCCCTATAATTTGACACTTGAAAAATAATCTGCTAGAAAATTAGACTTATTCTTTATTTTTCCACTTGCTGTGTTGTGAGTGGTCCTCTATCAGAAATTTTTGGGCAACCCCCTCG